TGCGGCGCCGCCGGGAGGAGCGCGAGGGGCGGCCCGCCGCGCCGCGCCCGGCGCCGCCGGAGCGGGGCGAGGGGCGGCGCTTCCTGCCGCGCGTCGACCGGCCGCCGCCGCCCCCGGAGCCGTCGTGGCTCCGGAGGCGCGTCGACGCGGCGCGCGCGCGCCTCGCCGGCGGCGAGCCCGAGGCCGCCGCCGCCGACGACGAGCCCCCGCCGGGCGGGCCGGCGGCGCGCGCGAAACGGGCCCTGCGCGCCGCGCGCGCCGCCGCGGTCGCGCCGCTCGCGCGCCGCCGCGCGGCCGCGAACGCCACGGACCCCGACGGACGCGCCGACGAGGCAGAGGCGGAGGACGTCGAGGAGGAGGAGGAGGAGGAACGGGATGAGGAGGAGGAACAGGAGGAGGAGGCGGACGACGACGACGACGACGACGACGACGACGACCGCGGCGACGACGACGACCGCGGCGACGACGACGACGACGACCGCGACGACGCTCCTCAAGAAGCGTCCCGGCGAAGCGGCCTCGTAACGTATCACACCTAAACCCCGGTACAGTGCTCAGTGCCCGAGGCTCATCAGCTTGCCCCGAGCACCGCGCCGGCGCCGGCGCGGAAGAGGGAGGGGCGGCCTAGAGGGGCGGCCTCTAGAGAGGCGCGGCCTTGGCCCAGCTTGGGCTCGCAGCTGGGGGCACAGTGCCGAGTGATGCGTTTTGCGATGGCCCGTGCGCGCGACCTCGAGCGAACGCATGGTGCCAAATTGGCAGGCGCCTAGAGGACCCTACTGAGAGTGCCTCTGCAGCGCATCGACGTGCGGGAAGTCGAACGCGTCGCGAAACCCGCCCGTGCGCTCCGCAGTGCAAACCAGTGGAGGTCGGTCGACGGGACCGCCTTCCGCGCCGCGCGCGACTACGGCGGCTGCTGCGAGCGCTTCGGAGGGTCCACGAAGGTACTACGGACGGGGCGCGACGTCGAACATCGTCCCGACGCACGTATTTCGACCGCGGGCTGGCGCTCAAGGCGCGCAGCGAGACGCTGGCGGGCGAGTTCGCATCGATGACGGCGGGTCCAACGATCTCTGGCTGCTGCGGAGGTCGACATCATCTACCACAAGACCTGCGAGGCGAGGCGCGCGAGCCTGGGACCCGTCGACGGCCCGCGACACGCCGACGGTTTCGGGGTCGTTTTCGGTGCCCGAGACGCGTTTTTTTCGCCGACGAGAGAACGCTGCCGTCGCGCGGTCTTTTTGGCCGGGCCGTCGCGTATGGTCATGCCGACGTGCGCGCGGCCCTTTAGAGCGCCGAAAACGACTCCCATGGCGTCGCGTAAGTGTCGGTTTTGGCTGGATTTCCTCTAGGGATCGGACGAACGCCATCCGATCGCTGCAACACCCTCACGGTTGGGCGTG